ACAGGCAGATCAGGAAGATCAGAATTGACCAAATTACAGGCCTCAAGTAACATTAGTCATATCCAAAATATTTTAGGAGATAACCTCTTTAGGTCTGCGGGGTGATATGCTTTAGAATGGTCATTTCCTGTCACCTTGTATTCTCGCAGTTTTGTTCTAACATGAGCATCAAGAAGATGAGAATTGAACAAACTTCAACCAGGCCTATCACCCCTGAGATCACAGTAGTCATAGCCAAAATATTTTGGGAGAAAACCTCTTTAGGTCTGCGAGGTGATGTGCCTTAGAATGGTCGTTTCCTACAGTCTTGGATTCTCGCTGTTTTGGTCTAATAGGCAGATCAGGAAGATCAGAATTGACCAAATTACAAGCCTCAGGTAACATTAGCCATAGCCAAAATATTTTAGGAGATAACCTCTTTAGGTTAGCGGGGTGATGTGCTTTAGAATGGTCGTTTCCTGTCATCTTGTATTCTGGCAGTTTTATTCTAACATGGACATCAAGAAGATCAGAATTGACCAAACTTCTGATGGTTGATGACCAGGCCTATCACCCCTGAGATCACATTAGTCATAGCCAAAATATTTGGGAGATAACCTCTTTAGGTCTGCGAGGTGATGTGCCTTAGAATGGTCGTTTCCTACAGTCTTGGATTCTCGCATTTTTGGTCTAATAGGCAGATCAGGAAGATCAGAACTGACCAAACTACAACCAGGCCTATCACCGCTGAGATCACATTAGTCATAGCCAAAATATTTTGGGAGATAACCTCTTTAGGCCTGCGAGGTGTTGTGCCTTAGAATGGTCGTTCCCTGTCGTGTCGAATTCTCGCTGTTTTGGTCAAATAGGCAGATCAGGAAGATCAGAATTGACCAAACTACCGGCCCATCATCCCTCATGTCACATCAGTCATAGCCAAAATAATTTGGGATTTTGAGAGAACCTCTTAGGTCTGCATGATGATGTGCATATAGATTGATCTTTTCCGTTCATCTTGGTTCCTCGCTGATATGGTCTAACCGACAAGCAGGCCAGGATGATCGAAAAGACTAAACTACATGCTTTTCACTCCTCACACCGAAATGAATCAAAGACAAAATATTTTGGATGGACTCTTGATCTCTACAGAGTACAACAAACAGGCAGAAATAAATTGTTTGAAAAGACCACACTATAAATAAACTTTATAAGGTTAAATGCCGTATAAATGGAAATGAGATCATGTTCTCCAGCTTTATTGATCACGGCATCTACGAGGAAAAAATAATACAAGTCGGTACGCATTTTAGGGCCGTCGTAACCGTTCATCGTGTCATGAAATAACAAGAACAATATGGAACGGACCGCCAAGGGAGCATTCATCAGTGAGGCGTGTTCCCCTTAATGGCAGCCGTGTCGCCACATTGCCAATATCATAAAAGGGAATTTCAATTTTCGACCCCGACGTGTAACATTGTCGGACTGCGACACCCTTTTCATACTTTATGAATTATAAAGAAAAAGAATTTATGAGATTTTTTATATGAGGAAACAATCCCAAGGAGGCGTTATTACAATTACTTTGAAATTTTCATTAGGGTGTCCGGGATTTTTTTTTTAACCAAGTTGATTATTCCCCTTAAGCTGTCTTCTGAAATCCAGATTGAAGCAATCGGGCATGATGTTTCCGCAGGATTGAAACAATCTGCTTGGTCTTGCATAAAATTTAATTTAAAAAAAATCGTTTTCACTCTACTGGTACTTTGAAAATCGAAATACAAGCAATAGAAGAAAATTTGTGCCAAATCGTTATAAATTGTTGAATGGATCTTAAGTATTTGATTAAAATCAAATCTGGCTAAAAAATATTATTTTCATCGTTTCGGATCATCCAGGTCCGCCTATCTTCGCTATTCTGCCACCGCGTTTAGCCACACTTCAGCAATCAAAAGAAAAATTATTTATGAACCTCTAGTGTGATTCTGTTTAAGAAATTCCATTCGAAAAACATCAATATTCCGACTATGAAAATCGACCAGGTATGAAAATTCAGGACAAAGGTTTATATATATTTTACGTCAAAAATTATATAAGAATTACAATAAACAAGGAAGAGTCGACCTATCACTCAAAAAAGATGTCACTGCAAATATGAACTTTTCGAAGCTCTTATTTTCTTCGATCAAACAGCCATACTAGACTTAATTAATTTCATAAAGCTTTATCTGTCAGCCAGTTGTTGAACATATGCTGTTTGATCCTCTATTATTATTCTTCTCTGTACAATTGTTTGTACAGTTCGAGCGAGTTGAAATACTTTAGTGTCGTTACCGCTAAACAGTCAACATCTGTCGAAAACTAAAAATTATTTTTATAAAAGGATCGGTCTAGTCTAAGCCTTGGCAGAGTTAACAATTCGGCTTCTCATTCAACTAGAATCGAAGACCTTTTAATAAAATCAAAAAGGGAGTGCTTAGGTCAACAGACCTGTAAGTAATATAAGAATCTTCTCCTCTTTAGTAGGGATGAGCATCGATAAAAAAACAATGTCACCGTCGTTGAAACTTCGGAACCTAACCATCGATGGTTTTTTGAGTACTCAAAATATGCATACATTATTTTTATAGGCCACTTTAGAAACATAAGCTAATTTTTCAAATTTCGCCATTCTTTCATAACCCTTGGTTACAAGGTTGGTGTCCGGGCGCAAAATAACGGTGCATCCCTGAGGGCGTGGTAACCTCTCTAAAGCACAAGCTGTAATCGTGTCGGCTCGGGTCGGCGGGTGCCTTATCAGAGGCACACGAGTGTTAGGGCACCAGATCCTGTCTGCATAGACGGGGGAGGGTGCATAACCATCTGTACTACGGGGTAACAGAAATGTTCCAAGGTTCACCCCTGTTACACTGGGAATGGACTCGTAATGGTTCGTGGTGACGCACCAGGCGGGAACTTAGAGAACAGGCAGTCTTCTATCTGTGACCTTCGCACGAAACTTGCATATGACCATCGTTATACACCTGGCCTCACGGGACGGCAACGTATAAGCGTTGAGGACGCTATGGTTACGCTGAATAGTCCCTCGATTCGGGTAGTGAATCGGTTGCTCTTATTCGAGTATGCTTCGCACGCAGGTGTAGGCTGAGCTCGATTGGCAGCTTTTACCGTAGGCGGTCTCCTCTAGGGGGGTTAGCAATTCCATTTTAAACGAAACCGCGGCCGGGGCGGATCCAGTAGTTTCTACGCTACGGAAGCCCTAATACTCTGGGAGATAGAGTCCCCTTCTCTATCTAGGGAGTGCGCGGGAGACCGAGCTGATGTATTTCGCGCCTTTTGCGCGCGGCATACGGTCTTATGTTCAATGCGGTTCAATGGCCCGTCAGGATACCTATTAGAAGGCTGATTGGCCCTTTGAGAAGACACCTCTTCGTAATGGGCATTTTACCAGACTCCTTCTGCCGTTTTTGTGAAATAAAACGGCACTACCTCGCAGAATGTGATAGGAATGTCAGGCATAGATTCGAAACTTTTGAAGGAGAGGACATCACCAAATCACTCCCCGAGATAAAATGGTCCAAAATCTTGAGATTTGTGAACAAGTCCAAGAGGTTTATGCAGGACACGTGAACCGACCAAATCCCGGACCCTTTAGGGATGGGGTACGAGTCTACCCAGGCATTTAACCCCTCGGGTCTTGGTCGCCCGCCCTGCGTAATATATATGTTCAATGTAGACCGGGCCACTAGGACTCGACAAGCAGGGAGCGAAGTTGTCTTGGCCCTTCGGAGCTGAGCCCCCTCTACACCAATGCTGCGGCAGTAACACCATCCTGTCGTATGCGGAGGTTCGTCAGCTCTCATCTTGAGAATGAAAACATCTAGTAAGGCCGAATAGGCTAGATGCGGACGTTAAAGATCCTCATTGTCCTTTTAAGGACGACCGAATATAGGGAAAGGAATGTACTCCTATCCCATGCATGTGCTTTCTTAAGTGGCATTGCCCTATCAGGAGTCCAACTAGAATCCCGTGTCGGTTGCGGTTGCCTTCCAGTAATTCCTTTGTAACTTTGTAAGTTTTGCGAATGGCCCTTGTATGAATCTCTTCGCGTGTGTCATGCCTGTGGTATTGTCCCACCAAGTTTTGGTCTCATTAAGGATCCATTTTAAGATGTATCCTCTCTTGTGGCAGGATGCTAAGCCATAGTAGGGTTCAGGACTTAGAGATTCCATGTTGGCACCTCTTTGGCCAACCTGTCAATACAGCTTATAAAACAATCATTACATTACATACATCACACAATTTCTACATAGTCTAAATCCCCAACGATATATCTCTCTTTTTTCCTAATAATCCTGTCTATAATAATCCTGAAAAGCTAACTAGGCCCGCACCTCAAACCATTACCCCTTTTTACCATTGTCGGTCCCTTTTAACTAAAAAAAGCCGACTCCTCATAAAAAAATGAATTTCTATCCCTACTTCCTAACCCACTCCTTCAAAATCAAACATATATAAACATAAAAAACATTAATATCTCACTAAAGTTCCTAACACACCAGTGGCACATCTACATAGAATACACACGCTTTAAGTGAGTACAAATGCTTTGATTAAACCTAAAATTTCTATATTGTGTACATCATTGAATAAATTCATTTTCTCATCTTACATGTATTTGTATAATTTAAACAATGTTTATAAATCCCAGGGCCTGAAGATGATTTCAATAAAGATCGAAACGTTGGCAAGATAAAGAAAATGTTTTTCTAAACCTACATCACACAAGATCGCTCACTATCTCTAAATAATCATAAAGCATAAATTTCAAACTTTAGATTAAAAATTATTTGTACAGTTAGCTTAAAAACCGTAAAAACTGTGCTATAAGGAAAAATAAACGAACGCATGACAAAATATTATCCAAATCACAAGTCATATAAGAAAACCTTGATAAATTATTAAAACCTTCACAACAGACATTTACAAAAAAAGTTGACAAAATGTTGGATAAAACTACTTACGTAATTTTGGGCAAGGTCAGGGTGGTTGATCTGGATACCATCGTCCAGGATGGAGACGACGACACCCTTCCCAGAGTAGCCCTTCTGCCAAGCTGCCTTCACGTTCATGTCGAAGCCTCCTCGAGCTCCCCCGTTCTGGAAAATAAAGACAATTAAAATAGTCTAAACAAAATATATCAACATAAAATTTAACTTAAATTTTTGTTAAACTTGTTTGTGCCATGTCAAATCCTTTAAATTCTGGCCCTAAGCGAACAATAAATTTTTTTCTGGTTTACACTACGGGTCAAAGTTTGTTTTTCCAAGCTTTGTAACGTTAATTGAATCCGTTCAGTTATTTTTTAATCATTATTCTTTATTTTCTTTTTATTGTGTTTTTCTACCTGGTCGATACCCTTATTGACAAACCAAATTACTGCTTGATTTAACTTCATACAATCTCTTATCAACGATTTCTAATTTGTCATTTTTATGCAATAGCATGGTATCATTTAAAGCATATCATAATTGTGGAAATGAGCTCTAGTCTATTTTTTGTAGTAGGTCAACAGTTTTAATTTCATACTCTGGCACATAAGTGCTGTGCAAATATTTGATGTACTCTGTCAACAAATTAACCGGCTTGTTTTTAAATCGTTATCAGTGGATTTGATTTAGGAGGAAAAATATTCCATACGTCACAAGGTGAAGAAACATGATTGTCAAATCGAAGAGGATTTCATTTTGAAAAGAGTGCCCTTTTAAATTTTCTTTTCTTTAAAGAAAGAATTCCCAGGATGGCGGAGGAGACTCTGAGGAACTATTCTAACTAGGCGTTATTGTCTTTTTTCAACTTAATCCAACGTTTAGAAGACTAGACCGCATCTCACGATTTCTAAATAAATATCGATTAACGGTCACTAATCACCACACACACGTTTAGAAGAAAATGGACATTTATTGGTCTCACTTTTCACTAAGGATGAAGTGATAATAGCAACTAATTCACTAGATTTAGTGGTCCGCTTGACCAATTAATATATTTCAATAAGTTAAGGTTTTAAGTTGAGAAAAAAAAGGCAGTGTCATGAGCGGGATTCGAACCAATGACCTTCGGCTTGATACGCCGCTACTCTACCACTTGAGCTATCGTGACTTCGATCCCCTCGGGCACTAACTTCCCATTTCAACCGCACCATTTGAACTTTCCCTCCTTTTTGCCATTTTTCAATTTCATTTGTCATTTTTTGCTCGTGACACTGACATTTTTAATTTCAACTTAAAACCTTAATTAATTGAATAGAAAAGAATTTTTTATGACATAGTATGTTCCCATGTTGGCAATATTCCTGATCAGCATAGACCACCAGAGGCTTTATGACAATGGATATTCTAAACTTAAGAATGAATTCCTTTTCCGTTAATAACAATATAAAAACAATCATTGCGTTATTTTAACTAGTACAATCTGCAAACATAATTTTCAACTATTTTAATCAAAAACCATAATTTCCCTCAGCTTGAAACATCCAGGATCATGAATTTAAAAAATTCTGAATTAAAAAACTCACTTATTAAACCCAAAATCTGTGGTCCTGATGACCGGGATCGTAAATGTGTAAAAAACATACATACAACAAAGACATAAATATGTGATATTACACCAGGTAAACCTCGTTTGGGTTTAATAATACAGGCAAATTTTTCCACTGTCGGTCTACATTAGGTGAAGTCCTAGTTAAAAGGTTGGACATAAAAGGGGTATATCATTTGAGGACTGTCTAAAAATTATTTTCTGAATCCACTAGTTTTCGTGGTCCGCTTGGCCATTAATATATTTCAATTAATTAAGATTTTTAGTTGAGATAAACGAAGTGACGATAGCTCAAGTGGTAGAGCAGCGGCGTATCTAACCGAAGATCATGGGTTCGAATCTCGCTCGTGACACTGATTTTTTTATCTCAACTAAAAACCTTAATTAATTGAAATTATTTTCTGAGTTGTTTCTTTTAAAGGTTCGGAGATGGGCAAAATAGGATAATCAATGTGCGTTCTTCAAGCTAGTTTCCGTTAACTTCTTTACGTCTTTAACGATCGATAACGTTAAAGTTAAAAATGCAACAAAAGCGGCGAAAGGCGTTTGATTGTGTGGATAGAAATTAGTTGTACTGTAAATTGTATTCTTTAAAGATATCCCATAAATTCATGAGAGCCATCCAAGGTCTTTATTCTCTAACGCTACCAAACGTTTCGTTTCATACGGGGTGAAGCAGAGGTGTGTTCTGTCACCGATTCTCTTTTCCCTTTTACTTAATGATTTACATGATTTCCTCGGGGGCGGAATGATGGGGCTAAACTTGCAATAGAAGATTAACGAAGTGGAGAAGTTTTGTGTCATATGGAGTCTACAAATTAATCTGTGAAAATCCAAGATTACAGTGTTTAAAAAGGGAGAATTGGGAAGAAGAAAAAAATGGACATTGGGGGGCGAAAGACACATGTGGTTAACACTTATAAACATTGGTGACACTTCACAACTCAGTTTTAGAAATTATCTAAAGGAAAAATTAAATATTGCCAAGTTTCATGTCTACATATGAGAATTTTAATAAAAAACGTTACGTCTCTTTATCTGGTAAGTACACACGAGTTGAATTTCTCTGAAATATATTTATATATCGTAAATAGCAGTCATGAAGAGCAGTCGCGAGGGCTATTTTATGTTATGGAGCACAGTTGTAGTGAGTACATAATTTTGAAGAATTTCATAAGTTAAATGTATTCCTTATCAAAAAATTATCCACCCTGCCAAGAAATACACCTTGAGACTGTAATCGATTCGATATATCTTTACACCCTGAGTACTCACATTCAGTAAATTAAAAAAGTACTAGCTCTGGAGGAGTTCTGTTTCCCACGAATCCTAGCAAAAGAAATAATCTGAGTGGGATTTGTTATTCCGTCGGCAACAGTACCGAGGGATCAACCGAAGAACTCTTGTCAAAAATAAAAAATAAATTGCCTTCGGAATTTTTGACAAAAGCACGATTATCTCAGTTTCGGCAATGCTACAAATCTTTGGGCCTGAATTTCGAGAACGGCCGTTACCTTAATGATAGCGATTACCTTCATTTTATGCAAATGTTAATGAAAGTCAGAAGGGACTTCTGAATTTGAATTTTCAAGTTAGCCGAACGACCGACCGAAAGTTGTCTATGCTCTCTAAGCAACGAAGGGTCAAAAGAAGATATTCACTTCATTCTGACAGAATTCAGTTGTAGTAACTAGGAAAAATTAAACTGAGCGGGGATGAATGTATGGATGTGCTTACTGGAAGATAATTGAAATCCCATTACAGCTATGCATCCGAAGTAGTCGAATACAACAAATTTTTGATTGAATTTTTAATTTGCTTTAAGCTTTAATGTGCTGTAGCCCGTACTTAATTTTTATTTCTTTGTAGTTATTGGAATGGTGCCCCTATATTCATGGTTAAATAAGAATATAATACTGTTTTTTTGTTTTTTTTTTTTTTAAATATTTTGTCTAAAGTAGTACAATCCAAGCTATGGAACTCCATAATAGAGAAACTTCTTTTATGTGAAAGTGTTTGTTTTCCATAGGGTTTTTATTTGGAAACCATTCATTTTTCAAGATTATTTTCGCGACGAGTGTCCGAATCCGTAGAAACTCCATAAGTGTACAAATTTGTTAAAAAAATTATACAGTTTTTTTAAGCTGGTTGAACAATTTTTTTGCGTCATCGATTTCGCGTTATCGAAGAATGAGCATAATGGTGGATTAAGATAGGAATGATTATTGATGAACTGATTCGGTAAATGTACGTAGGGTTAGGTTTGGTTATGGCTGGAAGCTAGTTACGTAGAGTTAGGGTTAGGTTAGGGTAAGAAACGTATTACGTTAAGTCAGGTGGAGTTCAGAATATTCTCTCTCCAGGTTTTGATGCTTATATGGATGAATTTCCGAATCCGTGGAAGCTCCATAAAATGTACAAGTTTTTTTTCAAATTTAACATGGGTACATTTTTAATCTAGATATAATTTATTTTGCGTCACTATTTTCGCGTTACCGAGGAGTAGAGGTTAGGTTAGTTTAGGCTTCGCGGCATTTTGGGTAATCTAAGATGGAAGTTTAGGGTTATTAGCCGGCTAGGTTAGCTCATGTAGTGTTAGGTTAGGTTAGTTAGGATGAGTGTTACTGACGGGTTGGTGTAGATAGAGTTGAAAACCGGAACGGGTTAGTAGAGTTATGAGGTCAATATTGGTCTGGGGTAATCAATATTTTTCACGATGCTGAGAAAATATGGCAGTTTTTGTGATTTTTTAACTATTGGGTTTTAACCAGCCCAAATGAATTTTGTGTGGTGTTTAGTGATCGCTAATTGATGATTATTTAGAGGTCGTGAGATGCGGTCTGGTGTGACGTAGGTTTTAGGAAAACATTTTCTCTATCGTGCCAACGTTTCGACCTTGATTGAGATCATCTTCAGGGCTGTTTTCCGTCCGACTGACAATAATACACATCTACACGGAAAACCGATACTTTGAGCCCTGAAGATGATCTCAATAAACGTCGAAACATTGGCACGATAGAGAAAATGTTTTTCTAAAACGTACGTCACACCAGACCCTATCTCACGGTCTCCAAATAATCATTATTTTTAAATTAAATTAAATTTTTTATGTAGTTATATGCTAGCTATGTACTAATTTTTTTCTGTAAATAAACACATTTATTTCATTATTATTCATTCATACATTCACTTTTGCGGTACAACAAATTGCCAAAAACGTAGATTCACCAGACAATGATTAAGAACAAGACCTGGGTACCATCGTAGATACTAACAGTAGATCTAGTAAACCAAGGACGAAGATTACAAAGAATGCAGACAGGACACTGCATTGGAGAAATAGAACAAACTACTTTTGTTTGGATACCAGAGTAACGAAGTGGCAAGTTCTTGGGTCAATCCTGTACCAGGACAGAGGCACGCGAAAAAGTTCATAACGCACATCGCAGATGCTATCGGCAGAACTATCAAATCCAAGAACAGGGCTAGAGTGATGGTAAGACTGATGATTGAACGCTGCAGACTCCGGAGACATATGAGTAAGAGCAGCAGAACAGAGAAGCACGGCTGTACCAGGTAATAGAAAACCCAGTGGAACAGTTCGAAATGTAAAGCTGAGACGCCTATTGCTGAAGAGTAAAAGCCAAAGGGTGAAAGATTGTCTTAGCTAAATGGTGGCAGTTTTATTTTGAACATGTGGTATATCACCCAGGTACAAGGTCCATCAGGACATCGGAAAATTGTTTCCGTTTCATTTTATGTTTTATACTTTTATTCAAAGCATTGAGAATTTTGTCAATTACAAAATCGAAAGTTTGGGTGCGCAAATTTGCGCATATTTTGCAAACATCGGCCAAATACGGGAAGAGAGAGGGGCACCCAGGCGTCTTTTCCGACAAAATGTGAGGGAATTCGAGCGGAACCGCTTCAGAATATAAAAACGAGCCTGGTCGGAGATCGATGGACTTTACGTGTCCAAAAGAGGGCATCTCTTTGGCTGAACGCGAAGAGTCACGAGACCCATGTCGTGCTCGTGCACGGACATCTGATCGTTCTGAAAAGGCCTTGGGCGAATTTTAAAAATGTCACCGTGAATTCACAATAACCTTCTTCTATAAACGAATCGGCTATCAATAAAGTTACCAAACGGTTTTCTCACAAGTCGAAGAAGAACCTATAAATGATGGTTTTCTTAGTTAAAGAAGGAATTGATTATTACTGTATTAAGAAAACATTAGCATAATTTAATTTAAACTAGTTTTCTATGTTGCATCTGACTGAAATGGTACAGAATGATTAAAGGAAAGGTCAAATGAACATCCCTAAAATAAGAGGATAAAACAACACCAGTCTTCAGAGGGTAAATTAAAAACAAAAAAACCACTTGACATAGTTAAAATGTAACATAATCAATTTAATATGACCCATTTCGTCTCCTCTTTTTTTCCCTTTTCCCTGGTAATTTCATTATACTTTCTTCCCTAAACCTTGTAACCCCACCCCCCATTGAAAGATGAGCACATAATCTTGGTTTTATCAGTCGTTCGGCCAGGTCGAAATATTGACCCCCTGCCATATTTCATTGACTGTTGAGTCGCGTCGTTAAATCTTTGGAGAAGGGCAGACATTCGAGAGGATTATCCTTTATACTCAATTGCCGCCTTTGGCTCTTCCATTTGGCACTGGAATTTCACGTCCGAAGGAAGGAAAAAGTTTATAAAAAAAAAGGTCAGCCCTTTCAATCCCACAAGGAGCACAGATTAACTTTTTAGGAAGCTGTCCCTCTTTAAGAGTTGTTAAGGTTTCTTTTTCCCTCTGGATATCTTTGTCGCACGTTAGTGTAAAAGTGGAATTTTTCTTTCCTGTAAATGTTTTTTTTCTCGTTTCGATGGGTTCTAAAATTTTGAGACGTTAAGCCTTTTGATTTACTGAATATCTGTTATAGGTCTAGCATAAGGGACCAATATTGGTCTATTATGCATATCCACTATCGCCTAGAACTTCCGTTAAGCTGGGTCCAGAGCTTTGTTAACCTTTCACGCCCTTCAGGACCTCAGGACCTGGGAACTACTAATAAGGTTGAACCAAAGGACGTCTGTGGTATATTAATTTTGGGAAGGAATCCAAGGTGTAAGTACAAAGAACATCGCGGATTCTTCACATGTAACAGTGACATCCATCGTTATCTGGGTATGGATTTACTGAATATCTGTTTTAGTTGTAGCATTAGGGACCAATATTGGTCTATTATGCATATCCACTATTGCCTAGAGCTTCCGTTAACCTGGGCCCAGAGCGTTGGTACCCTTTCACGCCCATCAGGACTTCAGGACCTGGGAACTACTAATAAGGTAGAACCAAAGGACATCCTTGGTATACCAATTTGGTAATGATTCCAAGGTGTGAGTACAAAGAACATCGTGGATTCTTCACATGTAACAGTGACATCCATCGTTATCTGGGTATGGATTTACTGAATATCTGTTTTAGGTCTATCATTGAAGCAATGACATCCATCGTTATCTGGGTATGGATGGGTATGCGTAGTATGATTAAGCTAAAGCCAAAGACCAAAGACTACCATTGAACTCTTTGGCATTACTTTAACAGTAAACTCAATGTGATAATAAGCAGACTAGTTCAAATTTACTAACCGAAAAACCACTCCAAGATCATATAAACTTCGATGTCCGTGATAATTCTTTTTTGAGGACTCAAGATGACCAACCCTTTAGTAATGACCGAGAGTTTTAGAGTACGGAATTTGGCATAGTTCACTCACCAGGTACCATTCTTCTTTGTAGAGAGGGTCTGTGAAATAGACGCCGTTTTTGGCGACTCTCGAGTTCTCCCTGGGTTTGAAGTAGTTCTGAGGGAATTCCTGATACAGCCTGGCGAAGTCCTCGGCCGAACCCGAGTAAAAGTCCCTCTTGGGCCTCTTCTTTTCGTGTTGCTGTTGGACCCATAGAACCTAGACGAAAAAAAAAGAAGAAAAATATATTAAATTGTATAAACTAAAACATTTCTACATTGAGAAAAAAATCTAAAAATTTCAAAAGAGGAATCAACCCGAAAACAGCTTATTTAATCCTCGTATTATTGGAGGTAAGCAAATAAATAAAAGTTTTAATTTTAAGGCTTAAATACTAGTTTCGATACGACCTTGAGCTTACATAAGCTTTTTTTTAATTCTTTCGTTTCACGATGCGTACTTAATAATGTGGTAAAGAATTCTTACCCAGTAATTAATGTCGGTAACTTTACAGGATTGTCGAGTTGTAAGCAAACCTGTTTCAATTTATTAAAAAAAAAAACTTTTCTCTTTCACTTTTAAGTAGATAAAGTTTATTTCAGTAAAGTAATGCTTGTGGGAATCAAGTGTTTAAAAAAAATATTTTGTGCCCAACCAACCCAGCATGGACGTTCTTCGCTTAAAACTTTTCATATACTTACTTTCAAGAGCTTTTACTTCTTTGAGAGGTTTCAGTTCTTCTTGTAAATTAGGCTATTTATTGTTTTTCCTTTTTAACGAAAAGCACATTTGCGTTATTTTTTGGATTAGTTTTAAATTGATCTTAATTCTTAAGTAAATTCCAACGCAAGGTTTCTTTTCGTAGAAAAATTCTTTTCGATCAATTTCCGAGCTATAATCGTAGGCTGGATTATGAATTTCGTTCCTGCCGGAGGAAACTTTATCCAGGGGGGGTTCCTTTCCCCGGCTCCCGGGATAAAATTAAATCCTCCGTGTAATCGGGGGATCCCCGCGACACAAAAACCAATCCCGATACTTGGTGGATTATGAATATTTAAAAGATTAATGAATCACAAAAGCCTGTCCTTTGAAAAATAGTTTTTGCCCGGTTTGAATAAACACAGTTTTAATACAAGTATATGTTTATGAACTTATATTCATTTAGCCGGGCTGTTTATAGTACATTAAGCACAAATGGATGAATTGGATCGAAACTTTGTAACGGCCAATTATAATTTTACCATTTTTTCTGCCATTTTGTATTTGTACCAATACCATAATATACCAATTAATATACTACAATTAATTAAGGTTTTTAGTTGAGATAATAATAAAATAATTATTGAAGAATTGAAGAGAGAATAAGAATTGAAATAATTATTTTATTTCATTCAAAAGGTGGTGCGGTTGAGATTGGAAGTTGGTGTCCGAGTGGATCGAGGTCACGATAGCTCAAGGGGTAGAGCAGCGGCGTATCGAGCCGAATATCGTGGGTTCGAATCCCGCTCGTGCCATTGACTTTTTTATCTCAACTAAAACTTTAATTAATTGTAGTATATTAATTGGTCAAGCGGACCACGAAATTAGTGAATTTAATGATTAAAAATGAAGTATACTTCACTAAAGCTCTCCGTGGCCATTTCATTTGTCGTCGAGAATTCAACCCGATTACACGACATTTGAAAAATGGCAAAAAGGAAGGAAAATTCAAAAGGTGCGGTTGAGATGGGAAGTTGGTGTCCGAGTGGATCGAGGTCAAGATAGCTCAAGTGGTAGAGCAGCGGCGTATCAAGTCGAAGATCGTGGGTTCGAATCCCGCTCGTGCCATTGACTTTTTTATCTCAACTAAAAATCTTAATTAATTGTAGTATAAAACAAATAAGTTTCATTGAATATGATTGTCTAAAATCCGATACAAAGAATATAAGAAGCCTTTTCCCAATATTCTTACATTTCGAATGACTTTTTAACCATTCCGGATACATTCCTGCAGGAAACGTGTTTGAAAAGCGGTTTTTTCCTTGTATTCGAAGAATATTTACTAACGGAGAAAGTATGCTTGTTTATTCCGGTTCTACTACAAATCGGAATATTTTTTGTCAAACTTCTACATTTTTACGAATTTCTTAGTAAATATTCCGGCCGTTATTCAGGCAGAACTGTCCTAATAAGTACTTTTCCTCTATTATTGAGACAACTTACAAACACACAAATGTATGTTTACTGTACGTGTTTGCCTTAAAAAGTTTGTACAAAGTTTTTCAAGCATTCTGGGGCTTCGTTTGTGAAGAAATGTCTCAAAAGTAATTTTCCCTGCGGTTTAAAGTATAATAAAAACCTTGGTTCCTTTTAACTTCCTTCTTCCCCTTGGTTTTTCTTTAAAGATCTTTAGGTAAAATCTAAATTCTAGTGTTTAACGGAATTTTTTTCAGAATCCTGGCCATTATTCATCAGAAATGAGACAATTTGTTTTTCATGTTATCTTTAGTACTTATAATAGGCTATAATTGTTGATGTTGCCCCTATCAGGAGGGTGAGCTAATCGCGAGAGCCAAGATGAACTCTGTTTACCTTGAATATTGCCGACTGTTTAATAAGTATTGCCGATTACCACTGCAAACAATTCACGCAGGTATTTACATCAAGGGTTAATTATTAACCAATTATTGGATTCTGAAATGTGACGTCATTAAAACGAAACCTTCCGGAGGATCAATTTCAAACGTGATCGGATCTAAATATACGGTGATCAAGATTATAATGACACTCCGGGGAAAAAAGAGTCGTATTACCCTCGGTTTTCCGCGGATTGAGGAAATAAGGTCGAAAAATAAAACCATAAAATCCACGTTTTATGAAGTGAAAAATTAAGATTTAGGCGCCTTCTCATGCTAAACCTGCACAACCGAGCGGTTCTTACGTTTAGAAGAGCACGACGCCCTATTTTTCGGCAGTAAAATTTCCTTCCTCTTATTATATTCAATGATAAAAATAATAAAAGAATAATAAACTCGTTCAGTATGTCTAAGTCGTTGTATGTTAATCGAGAAAAAACTTGTAGTAATAAATTTTGGAACATACAACAAGCATTCATCAATTTCAATTAAATTACTATAGTAAACACTACCCACAATCTCGGATCGCGTGCAATGTACATAAAAATGCAGCATATCACCCCCAAGGGTCATTTGTAACCCACAAAACGGCGATAATTTTTAGCGGACTTAGACGAAATAACGACTAACTATAGATTTAAGATAAAAAGACCCTTTATGCTTTTGTCCTCAGCAGCAACCGCAGACATGAGAACATATCTTGTTTCACTGTCCTAACCACGAAGCTGCGAGAGCAGGAATGCTTAGTTAAGTGTCAAATGAGGAAAGGCATTTGGCCCATCGAGCACAGTCTGATGACATTAAGGCCAATTTGATTATTTGGCGACGAATTTCGATTTAAATTTATTAAATTAGCAAAATAAAATGCACTTATCATTTGTCTTATAAATTCAGTTCAAAATTATTATTATTAATAATTAAATCCATTATATTTCGTGGTCCGATTCACCAAAAAACTTCTTTCAATAAATTAATCATTTTATGCAAGGAATTGGTCGAAAAGAAAAAGTTAGTTTAACGAGCGGGTTTCGAACCCACGACCTTCGGCTCAATATGCAGCTGCTCTAACCACGATTGCCCATGTGGTTAGAGCAGCGGCGATTTGAGCCGAAGGCCGTGGGATCGAATCCCGCTCGTGACACTTTTTCATCTCGACCAAGACCTTACATAAAAAGATTAATTAATTGAAAGAAGTTAATAATAATTATACACTGGCAGGCAAATATTATCTTTTTAATTTTCAGGATAAAAGAAAATTCTGCCCTTAATTTGTCTCATTGTTTTTGCCAGTAAATATTAGTTTATGCTATGTTTTAAATTGAGAATATCAATTAGAGGAAAACACACTTATTCCTAAATCCAAAACAAGGATTAAGGAATATTTCAATGTTTACTTTTTACGGAATTTAAAATGTTTATTCAGTCTTATTTGAATTCTGAAGGAATAAACTTTTTTCTTATCTTTCTTTTCTTAATTTCAAATTTTAAACTTAAAAATGACCCTTAGTGCTGAGGATGTTGCGCGAGGTGTGGTACTGTTTGATGATGGACGTTCCATCAAGTATGCGGCTATTACCGTCGAAGTTTCCTACGAAACTCTGCAAGACATCGCTAGACGTGTTCGAGAAACTGGGTCCTCCCATAAAAGGCCCGGTTTTGGACGCCCTAGGATAACAGAACCACAGGATAACCGTTTTTGACTTTGTGAATTTTTCGAAAGCGGCACCTTACTGTTGTTCAAGCGATTCATCAGCTCCAGGAAGTTCGAGGTGTCCAAATTTCTGGTCGCTCTGCTTGAAGAAGATTAAATCAGTAAGGACTGATGGCTTTTCGCCCCGTAAGAGGACCAGGATTGAATCTAGAAAGGACTCTTCGTGAAGAATGGGCTAACATTCAGCATAGCGACATTTCCAAACTGGTAGAAAGTATGCCGAGGCGTCTTCGAGATGTAATTAAGGCAGAGGAGAAAATACGCGATATTGAAATGTTAATTAAAAATATAAAACATAATTAAAATAATTTTTTCTGTCTTTTTATAATTTTTATATTTTTTTTCACTTTTTGTAGCAATTTATGTTTTTTCCTTTTTTAGAGAAAGACTCAATTATTAAACGTTAAAAACGTGAAACTTCGATTAATATATAAAAATATAAGCAAATCAGGTTACATTACAAGGGGCGAAATTTTTTGCCTATCAGTGTAGTTTAATAATAAACCTGACAGATCTGTCGGACCAGGACGCAGTGGGGAGAGAAACCGACCAGTGCTGGAACTCTCTTTTATTTAATTGGGTCGGTTAAATTTAATTGGGTGGGTTAAGATAGAAGGTCACGAGGCCATCGTCGTTTTAAACGGCGGGGAGGATTGTAAGGGTGAGACGTTGAGGAAACAGTTAGGGTGGAGGAATAGTTTAGAGTGGAAATTGAAGAAGCATCTTAAGATAAGTCTTTAACGAAAGGGATTTTAAAATCATTATGGATCGTTTGATTGGTGGTATAGAAGGGAATTTTAAGGGTACGGCGAAGAACTTTAGATTGAAAAGATGGAATTTTTCCCAGAGCCAACCTTTTCAACGTATCTCAGTGATGGTGTGGGCGGGAATTT